ATGAAGGGAGAAAGGAAGCTTTGATGTCTTTAAGTTGAGGGTGTGCACTATACAGTTGATATAGTCTCAAGCAGTCGGAGCGATTTCAAGAGCGAAAGGGGCTAAGCCCACACGCGAAGTTTCCATCGCTGGCTATTTCCTTCCTGAATCAGTCACTGACGGATTACCACTGGTAGCTGAAGGAGAAAGAGCTAGGCAGCCGAAAGAGAGTTTCTTCCGCCCCTCCTGGCATTGCGTCGCTTCGTTGCGACGTTGTCATCACGGGCGCGCCTATACTACAGAAAAGAGGTTATTTGTTTTACGTGCATCTCTCGATTTTACTCCCTCGCACTATTTCTCGAGGTTCAAGCCATATTTTGATTTATATTTTCCCATAGATTTGGCCGAATTTTTGCCCACAGGGTAGCATGCCCCTGACCATGAGAATAAGTATCAACTTCGAACGCTAAATTCCGGCGTCATAAGCGTTCGCGCTACGCTTTTCGGCACCACTGCTTGTGGCGCAGATGCGAGGCATTGCTGCGCGAAAAGAATTTGATATTAGTGTTAAGGGGACTAAGGGTCAAAATTTCTATGTAAAATTAGTCACGACATCGACAACCACAGCCGGACTAACTGCTTAGTGCTAGACTTTTCAGTCAGAGCGAGAGCACTTATCTTAAAATCAGCTAACGATGGACCCAACTGTGAACGGCTGTTGCTCATTCAAATGCTTCTGCATTTCCAGATAGAAAAAGAATACGCGGCGCGGGCGGCGAAAGAGTTGGTCAGTGACTGCTGCACTGTCTTTTCGCCACCATTATCATTACCATTACTCGTAAGCACGTAGGACTAACCATCGGGTCCTTCTGAACTCTCACCTTCTTCTGGAACCTAAAGGGAACGATGAGCCGGTTCGAACTGAAGTGGGCGAACTGTCTCGGTAGATAATTATGGATTCCATTGAAATCGTCGAAAAACATGTAATTGTAGTGAATAATGGTGGTCATAACTAGGTGTGCATAACTAGGTCACTTAATAATGCCTGTCGCTGCCTACTCTATAAAATCTTTTATTAGTTCCAGTTTGGTGAGGCCGTATGATGTTATAATGGTTCAGGCAAAAGTAAGTTTCTGTTGAATACTATTGAGTAAAATATTAGGTTGGCGGGGAAAGTTTCGTCACATTTTTTTGCAAAATAGGGCTTTCTTTTTGAGGAGTGTAAGATCAAAATTGTACAGCAATGTTACTGCGGGGTCCTTGCCAGTGTTTGAGCACCTCATGGATGCCATTGCTTCACTATGCAGGGAGACACGACGCAAAGTTGGACACCATCTCAACCTCGACTTGAACTTGGGTTATGGAGGTTTTCTCGTCCGCACAACGATCGATTACGGAAGGCAACTTGCTACTAGAAGGGGTGATGTGTGTGCTAAACAATTGCAAGGAGAGAGAGAGAGATCAAGCTCCATTGCATGAGGGTACGGGCGTCGTAACTTTTTGGACCAAGTACGTGCACTATTCTTTGGTGAGGGCCGGCTGCGGACAAATTTTTCCCTCTGGTCCACGATACGCCTTAGATCTCGTAGCTGCTTTGCGTACGCCTTGACCAAGGAACCAGCTTCTTCATCCAGCAGTTTCCCGACCCATAGCTCCCTCAAGCTGAGGTTGCAGGTAACCCAAACCTCACTTCGTCATCAAAACTGTAGGCTCCCTAGGCTCCCGCCTTGAAGCGTCACTGTCGTGGTAAGGTTGCTCGATGATTGGGGGCATCGTGCTTATTCAGCTCCATCAATTTGGCATCTGCAGCTAACACGCTGGCGTCAGGGTGGTGGGTGAAATAGCTTGTGGAAGTTGTTGGATGGGTCGGGGCTGATGGTAGCGGATAAAATCTTTGTGCATATCGCAGAAGAAGGAGCAAGAGGCAAGCGAGTGTTGCTAACAGAGAGACCCCTTCTTGTTGTATAACCGCTTACATTACCGGTACCACCTATTGCGTAATGGGCCAAGCAAATTTAGAGTTCGGGAAAAGAGGACAGATCTTTCTCCGCCACAACTTAATAAAAATAAGCTGCTTTGCGCTACGTGAAACTATCTTCGAGATGAGCCACGCATTTTGACTTGTTGCTCTGATTTAGAGGTTTGTCTGATGCACATAACATTCCCCTCCCCTGTCACAGTCATGCCTTCGCTCGCTATCATGCTGTATCGTGAAAATTGTAAATTTTTTAAGGTGAAAGCACAACGCATTGTTGCCTACGCAGCAGTGGCGCTATCCGTTTTGTCCTTTCTGATCGTTTGCGTAACTCTGCCTGTCGTCTTTAAATACGTGAGGTATATGAAAGGAAGTTTGGAGGAAGAGATCAAATTTTGCATAGTAAGCTGTCCTTTTTGCACTTCTGACATCATGAAGTTCAACAGTCCGTTTTCAGACTTCTGCAAAAGATGCGCAGATGGAAACCAAGCTCTTCAAGGCGATCCCCCATTCGACCAACCGAACTATTCGCCAGACGAATGAAAACCTCTCATTCCGAGATTCCTTTGCTGTACGATAGTTGCTGCCTTCCTGGAGAGCAGGGCCCTGCTGGGGCTCCCGGGAGACCAGGCAAACCAGGAAAACCCGGCACGCCAGGGATGCCAGGAAACCCGGGTAGACCGCCTCGGCAACCATGTCATCCTGTCACTCCTCCGCCATGTTTCCAATGTCCGGCTGGTCCACCTGGAGAACGCGGGCCACGTGGATCGCCTGGAGAACCTGGACCAAATGGCTTTCCTGGACCACCTGGAGAGAATGCAGCACCCGGATTGCCTGGAGCACCTGGCCCTCCGGGTGCACCCGGAGAGACTGGAGAGCCCGGTCCGGACGGCAGACATGGTAAGTATGATTCAGAACTGAAAAAAATCAGGATTTTGCTAATAACCTTTTCATCTGAGGAGACTTGCACATGAAACCAAGTCTTGAGACTGGGTAACTAATCATCTACCTTGAACAACTTACAAATCCTTGCATACCTTACCAACACAGATGCTATAGCACTTGAGTATCTAGACGATTTGATCCATTTTCTAGGAGCACCTGCCCCTTATCAGCCTGACGTACCGAGTCTACAAGGCGCTCCTGGAGATCGTGGAGAATGCGGAACACCAGGTCCACCCGGTTATCCCGGACGCAACGGTCTTCCGGGACCACCTGGGCCGAGAGGTCCTCCTGGGCAAGTCTGGTCAGGAGGCCGTGAAGACCGTTGGTGCATTCGGCCGCCACCTGACACAAGGACAACAAGGACAGAGAGGCATATGCCCGAAATACTGCTCGATTGATGGCGGAGCTTTCTACGAGGACGTTCAAAGATGAATTGTCTATTGGAAGTTTCGATTCGTGAATAAAGGTTTTCTTAGCCGTACCCACTGATATCGGGGAAAATGAGCTCTAGAAATGCTATAACGGGAATAGCTGCACCGTGAGCGTGACGCAATTCAGTGGAGATCTCGGAGTTAACTCCTTCCCGAACGTTTCAACTTCACCGTCAGACTAGATCGAGTAATTAAAGTGTACAGGCCCCTCCCCCTAGGCAATGTAAAATGTAAGTAGGAGTGCGATTGAAACCAACCGCATCACTAAAGAATTCCGCACCTGGTGAAGTGCCTTACATAATGTCTTTTCCATCGAAAAGCGGTCTCTAAGCATCCTAGCAATGTTTAGCACACCAATCTGCTACTCAGGTACAGGCATGACGGGTATGTGCGAAATTTCGGTTGTGAGTACGGCCCCCCCCCTTTTTTCGAATGGGGTTCAGGCCACTGACCCCCCCCGCCCCTCCACCTCCACGCGCCTTTTTCGCCTACGGCTACGCAGCGATGAGTATCTAAGCGGGAAAAAGATTGTCGCACGGGGGGGCGGAGGGAGGGTCGGGGGTTACCCTGTCTGACTCCCTCCATGAAATGACACGCCCAAAGTGACCCCAGCGGTCATTTTCTCAGTTAATCACTATCTAAAAGCAGCTGAAGTAATACCGACCATTGACGGTTCCACTTTCCTTTCGCCATTGTCACACTATATTTAGGTTGGAGAGAAAGTCCTGCGACACTGACCGAATTTTTTGACGAAATTTTCCTCGATCAAATACACCTAATCTACAACGTAATCACCATTAGTGATTAGGACTAGTGTCCTATTACATCAAGCTTTCTGTATTGTAAGAACTCCGGCAACTACGAATAAAAAAATGGGGAACCATAATTTCGGGTACATGTCAATTTTCGGAGGCTTCGCTCTCTAACACATATGACGAAGGGCCGAAGAATTGGTAATTGCGGCCATGCTATACTTGTGAAATAATGGTGGTACGGTGCGCAGTCCCTGATCGAGATCCATAACCTTTTGTAGTAGCATCATCGCTACATGTGGTCTTAGCTGAGTAGTAGTGAGAATGTGTGTTTCTGAATTCAGGCGCGACGTCATCCTTGTTTATCAGTGCTGTGCCCGCCAGTACCCAGTGACATGCCTTAGAAGCCCCACAAGTAACATAAAGTGAAATCTTTTATTCCCATGCACATCTGCTTTCGCAATTGAGCACTCTACTTCTCCTCTAGAGATCCTGCGAGGAATGTGTGCGTAGTTTACGCAAGGACTCCAACACTCGCTACCAACCACGAGGTCTCGGAAAAGTTCTTCCATTGCGTGCCAAGAAAAAGAAAACTCAGAACGGGCTATCCGATTGCGCTTGCCGAACTGCCTGTCAACGCATGAGGCATTCGTTCAAAAAGTTTCCTAAACTGGAGACTTCGCGAGGACGCATGGCAGGTCTCGCCACAGACGCTTCTCCAAGCTTACTGGTGTTAACATTCGACTCAGAAAGTTTGAGCAAACGGCCGTCATTCTGTGTAGCGCCGGATCTTTACGTTTCCTAGCTTTCGGGTGAGTAATTTCCAGCTTGCAAACGCTGACATAACTGGCACCTGCGACGGCAAGCACGACCGCTCCGTGTTGAGTACTCGCAGGTGTTACTCTACCCTAATATCTACGGCCAACTGGCCTACAGGAACTCAATACTATGGATAATTCAAAAGTGCTCTTCACCTTGCGAACACTTTGCAACCTTTGAATCTTCCACAAACTCATAATATATCCGTCTTCGAAAACCTCAGAGAACACTCTCCATTAATCATGGGTGAGAACACTCAAAATTTTCTTTGACCTTTTTCCAGAACATGTTAATCAATGTGTCGCAGGACTTTCTTTCCAACCTAATAGCACCATGGCTATCATTTTACACGAACACGTATTAACTTGTCTTTACCTCTTCACACGTTCGCTCACGTTGGAACAATGAATGGCACTATTCTTCTTCACTGACCTCCCTTCTTCGGGACCAGGCCAGTTTTTCACCAATTTTTTCTACACAGGCAGATATGACTACAGCTTCAAGTATCATTTGATCTCTTGAACACGAGTACCCCATCCAATTGGCACAAAACGGTCCGATAAACCTGTAGTCATATCTGCCTTTGCAGAAAAAATTGACGAATGTTTGGCACAAAACCGCCTGATACCCTTTTCACAGGTGCGTGCGCCAAGGCACGCTGAACCCCGTAATTCTTGAATAATTCTTCAACTAGTAAGTTGATGTCTCAGCAATATATATCTGTCTTGCGCATAGCCACCTGGAGCCCGTGTTATCTGAAAAGCCCTGGTGTTGACTATCAAACTGTAGTTTGTCTGAGGTCAGGGACAAAAGAAACCACACTGTTTTTAGCAGCTTCTCCCCATGTCTTTTTTCCTACTAACACCGGTGACGCCAGACGACGTGGTGTGATGCTGCAAGTGCTTCGCTGTCTTTGGGCCGTTTTGCGCTAAGCAGTATGCTGGGGCACCTGTCAGCTTCCAGTGGTGATGCTTTCCCTTTGCTAGGATCAGCCTCAACAGAGAAAGACATTATCTATCACAGGGGTGACGGGATGTAGACGAAAGCCGAAAAAAAAACCGCATACCGTACGCTTTCCTCAATCCCTAGCTTCTTGGCCCCTTGTGGATACGGATTACGGGGCTACCACTGCTGAGGACAAATTTTTTGCGAATTTAGGATTTAGCGCGCTTTGGCGCCGAGCTGAAGAGGAAGATGCTATACTTACGGTGGGGGTGGAAGGAGAATTACCCCTCAAGACCAATTCCAGCCAGATCGAAGTTTCGGATCGTCTTTCGAAAACGAGTACAGTAAAGGGTAAGATGGGTGGGTCTATGATATGCATTAAAAATGTCAAATATATTACGAGATTCCATTGAACAAACAAATAGGTCAATTTGCCTAGTGCAACTTTTATGGGATGACACTATTTTTAACGTACGAGTTCATCCTGCGAAGAAAACTCATCCATCGATGGCGCAGTATTTACCTGACAGATACTCTGTATCTCCTATGGTAACCTGCTTGTTGCCCGGCTGCTCTGGCCAGGCGCTCCAGGATTACCGTCAGCTCCAGCTTGACCTGGTGATCCGGAAGGCCCTTTGGGACCAGGAGCTCCAGGCGTTCCAGCACCTCCAGGTTGTCCATCTGCTCCAGCTTCATCAGCAGGTCCTGGCGGCCCAGCAGGTCCAGGTTCTCCTGGGACGAGTGGAACAGATTGCGCTGGCGCTCCAGGCTCCCCATTCGCTCCTGGTTTACCATCTGCACCAGGTGATCCTGGTGGTCCCTTCGGACCAGGTGCTCCAGCGGCAGCTTCACTTCCTGCATTTCCTGGTTTGCCAGGGGTACCAGCGTCTCCTGGTGGCCCAGGTGGGCCTGCTGCTCCAGGTGGTCCTTGAGGACAAGGTTTGCAAGGTGGTGGGCTAATAGCCTCGCACGGCTGAACAGGAGGTTTTCCTGGCTTGCCTGGGGAGCCTGGAGCTCCTGGCCTACCTGGCTTTCCTGGTGATCCAGGAGCACCTGCAGGACCCGCCGCTCCTTTTACGCAGCAAGACTCGCAGCCACCTCGTGATGAGCCTTTTGAACTTTGAACACCTTCGTCGCCGTAGCCGGCCTGACGAGCAGTCCTGTTAGTTTCTGGTAGAAGCGCGGTCTTCAGGATACGCACTTCGGACCAAATATCCTTCGCGGAACCCTGGAATAGGAATACATACAGTAACTCGGGAGGACAAAATAACAATATTCTTGACAAAATAACTTGTATTACTAACCCTACAGTTGACGATTTCATTTTGCATGTGCCTCTTCACATGGTGCACGTATCTGTAGACCAATGGCAAAGTGATGCATACAGAGAGTACAGCGACGACAGAAAATGCCACAGCTGAATAGGCAACGAAGCGATAAGCTTTGACCCTCGTCCGAAGGTCCATGTTGTGGAAAGGCAGCGGGGTGGAGAGCGCCGACGCCTTTTAAGGATGCTCATAAAACCGGCTGAATGAACGTCAAAAACTGGTAATGCATAGTTAGCTGAGCGCACGTCAAGTGCCACGTAATTGAGATAACAACAGAAAGATCGAAATGACTTGATTTGCGAGCCGCTGAACACTACACCCTCCCGCTGCGCAACACTCGGAAGCACCTCCTTCTAGTTTGGACCCACGTCTAACCATCTAATCGCTCGAGAGGGGGGGGGTCATTCCTCTTTAGTTCAAGTCAGAGACTCTCCTGGGTCGTTTATTCGATTCGACCCTGGGCAACCTTGTTTTGCCTCTTTGTCGTGGTTTGGAACTGTGACCAATGAGGCAACCAGTCTCGCTCACTTTGTTTACTGTGATGTTCCCTTGCGAAGGATTTTATGGGGATGACTGATTGAAATCGTTACTATCTTATGGATCTCATGGAATCTTCCACAACTCGCTTCAGGTCGTTGCAACTATAAAAGTGCCCTTCTCCTACTTGCAACTCCCCCTAAGGAAAGGATAACTAAGGCGGGCTTGAGAAGCCACTCAGAGTGGTTTTATTCAACGATGCCTCAGTGATGGTTGCAAAACCACAAGGCCATTTATGTCGTCAACAATGGCTTAAGAAGCGGTTTATCGAGATGACGATGACCAGCGAAGTGGTTCTAGGGCTCGCTATAGCCCATTCAGCGTTAATCCCACAATGATCAAGCTAACAGCACCGGCAGTCATTTCATAGACTTGGCCATAGTGTGTTCGTACCAGTCAATGTACTTTAGCCATTCTAGAGTACTTTAAGTACAAACTTCACAGTGCACACCTGAAAACAGTATGCAAGCTGAAGAGCGAGAGCTGGAACGCTCAGCGCAATCTGTTCCACTCGTCCCAGGAGAACCCGGACCTGCTGGGCCGCCAGGACCTGCTGGAGAAGCTGGAGCAGATGGACAACCTGGAGGTGCTGGAAGCGCCTGGAGCTCCTGGTCCCAAAGGGCCTTCCGGATCACCAGGTCAAGCTGGAGCTGACGGTAATCCTGGAGCGCCTGGCCCAGCAGGAAAAGCAGGTTCACAAGGAGAGAAAGGTATCTGTCCTAAATACTGCGCCATCGATGGAGGAGTTTTCTTCGAAGATGGAACTCGACGTTAGAAATAGTTCATCCAATAAAAGTTTGCATAGCAATTGACTATTTGTTTATTCAATATGGACATCTTGTAATATATTTGACATTTTTAATGCATATCATAGACCTACCCATCTTACCCTTTACTGTACTCGTTTTCGAAGGACGATCCGAAACTTCGATCTGGCTGGAATTGGTCTTGAGGGGTAATTCTCCTTCCACCCCCACCGTAAGTATAGCATCTCCTCTTCAGCTCGGCGCCAAAGCGCGCTAAATCCTAAATTCGCAAAAAATTTGTCCTCAGAGGTGCTTGAGCCCCAGTAAATCGTAATCGACAAGGTGCCAATGAGAGCAGGGATGGAGGAAAACGCGACGGTATGGTTTTTTTCGCTCGTCTACATCCCTCACCCCTTGAGAATAATGATCCTTTCTCTGTTGAGGCTGATCCCTAGCAAAGGAAAGCATCACCACTGGAAGCTGACAGGTGCCCTAGCATACTGCTTAGCGCAAAACGGCCCAAGACAGCGAAGCACTTGCAGCATCACACCACGTCCGTCGTGCCGTCACCTGTTAGTAGGAAAAAAGACATGGGGAGAAACTGCTAAAAACAGTGTGGTTTCTTTTGTCCCTGACCTCAGACAAACTACCACGTTTGATTCAACGAGGAGACTAGTTACACCCAGGGCTTTTCAATAACACGGCTCCCAGTTGGCCTATGCGCCAAGCAGTATCATATTCTGCTGGAGAATCAACCTACTTAGTGAAGAATTTCCGCAAGAATTCGGGAGTTAGGTGCCTTGGCGACGCACAACGTGTGAAAAGGGTATCAGCGCGTTTTGTGCGCACATTCCATTTTTTCTTGCAAACGGCTCGACTATATGACTACAGCTTTATCAGACGGTTTCGTGCCAATTGGATGGGGTACTCGTGTTCAGGAGATCAAATGATAGATAAAGCTGTAGTCATATCTGCCTGTGTAGAAAAAATTGGTGAAAAATTGGCCTGGTCCCGGAAGAGGTGAGTCAGTGAGGAGTGAATAGTGCCCATTCGTTGTTCCAAAGTAGATTTGAAGGAGGTAAGGCACATAATTTGTGTTCAGGCCTAAAATGACAGCAGATTAGATTTTTCACCGCTAGACAAGCAGTTGTAGAGCTTCGGTTATCCACGGACCTACTAATGGTACTATTAAAGTTGGAAAGAAAGGTCCTACGACGCACTGATTAACAAGTGTTCTGGAAAAACGATCAAAGAAAAATTTGAGCGTTTCACATGATTCAGTGGAGAGTGTTCGTTGTTTAATGGTTAATGGAGGTTTGTTAATGGCAGGTTTTCGAAAAGACTAAACATACTTATGACTTTGTGGAAAGATTTCAAAGCTGAAAGTCACCCCCTCCCCAGGTAAAGGTACTTTCTTGACATAATTAGGAGTTCCTGTAAGGGCCAATCCGCCGTAAGGGAGCTAGCACCTGCGTAGTATCCAGGAGGGACGTCGTCGTCGCAGAGTGTTCTGCTCGCATCAGCGCTTGCAAGCTGGAATTATTCAACCCGAAGGTAGGCAACGTAAAGATCGGCCGCCAGCACAGAATGACGGCCGTTTGCTCAACCTTCTGGAGGCGCAGTCGAACGTAACCACCAGTAATTCGGAAAACGGCAGCACCTACGGTGACGACTGCCGGATGCGCCTCCGAAAGTCCTCAGTTAGAGGGGAAAAAAATTTTTTGAATGAGATGCCTCTCATGAGTTGAAACCAAGTCCAGCAGAAGCGCATCGATAAGCTGTGACTGAGTTTCTTTTCCCTTGTCTCAATGGAAGAACTTTCGAGACCTTGTGGTTAGTGCATATAAGTCATTGGCGTGAACTACGACGACATCCCTCGCAGGATTCTCAAGGAGTATTTAAATGATTTTGCTTAGTCAAAAGTATCATAGGGGATCATAGAACATAACATTTCACTGTGGGCTAGTAGGTGGTAACTTTCAAAGCGATGTCGCTGGGTACTAGCACAGCAATGACGGCCACAGTCCACTTCAATTAACTTCTAAACATGGATGACGTCGAGCTGAATTCGTCCAGAAACACACAATTCTCACTATTACTCGGCTATGCGAAGACCACATGTAGCGATGATGCTACTCCAAAAGGTTATGGATCTCGATCAGGGACTGCGACTGTACCCACCTTATTTAATCCAAGTTAAGCAGCCTCAAATTAACCACCTCATTCGATCCTGCGCATACTTTAGAGAGCGGAAGCTCCGAAAACTGACGTCTACCCGAAAATTAGGTCCACCTATTTTATTTATCGTAGTTACCGTAGTTCTACAGTCCAAGAACAGCTGTGCAACCGACCAACTAGTCCTCACCTAATGCGTATTCGTTGTACGACTGCGAGGTGTATTTTAATCCCGAGAAAATTTGTCAGAAAATTGTTCAGTGTCGAGGAATTCTTTCCAACGCAAAGTAGTGTGCCAGATGGCGAAAGGGAGTGGAACGCGTCTACTGTGATTGAAATCAGCTGTTTTGATAGTGATTAACTGTTGACCGGTGTGGCCATTTTTGGGCGTGTCATTCATGGAGGGAGTAGAGATTGGTGTGGCTAAACATTGCTAGGATGCTTAGAGACCGCTTTTCGATGGAAAAGACATTATGTAAGGCATTTACCAAATACGGAATTCTTTAGTGATCGGCGTGTTCATCTCACTCTTACTCATCTTACTTGGCCTAGGGGCGAGGGTTCAATCGTGGCCCTTTACCTTTACTTACGTGATCAGTCTAGTGGTGAAAAGTTCGGGCAGGGGTCAATCCCAAGATCTCTACCGGTCACGTCTCACGGTGGCACTATTTCACGTTATAATTTCTAGAGCTCATTCTCCCGATATCAGTAGGTACGGCTAAGAAAACTTTATTCACGAATCAAACTTCAAATAACAATTTATCTCTTGACAGCGTCCTCGTAGAAAGCTCCGCCATCAATCGAGCAGTATTTCGGGCATATGCCTCTCTGTCCTTGTTGTCCTTGTGGTCCAGTGGGGCCGAATGCACCAACGGGTCCTTCACGGCCTCCTGGACCAACTTGCCCAGGAGGACCTCTCGGCCCAGGTGGTCCCGGAAGACCGTTGCGTCCGGGATAACCGGGTGGACCTGGTGTTCCGCATTCTCCACGATCTCCAGGAGCGCCTTGTAGACTCGGTACGTCAGGCTGATAAGGGGCAGGTGCTCCTAGAAAATGGATCAAATCGTCTAGATACTCAAGTGCTATAGCATCTGTGTTGGTAAGGTATGCAAGGATTTCGTAAGTTGTTTAAGGGTAGATGATTAGTTACCCAGTCTTAAGACTTGGTTTCATGTGCAAGTCTCCTCAAATCTGAAAAGGTTATTAGCAAAATCCTGATTTTTTTTCAAGTTCTGAATCATACTTACCATGTCTGCCGTCCGGACCGGGCTCTCCAGTCTCTCCGGGTGCACCCGGAGGGCCAGGTGCTCCGGGCAATCCAGGTGCTGCATTCTCTCCAGGTGGTCCAGGAAAGCCATTTGGTCCAGGTTCGCCAGGCGATCCACGTGGCCCGCGTTCCCACGTGACAGCCCGGACATTGGAAACATGGCGGAGGAGTGACAGGATGACATGGTTGCCGAGGCGGTCTACCCGGGTTTCCTGGCATCCCTGGCGCGCCGGGTTTTCCTGGTTTGCCTGGTCTCCCGGGAGCCCCAGCAGGGCCCTGCTCTCCAGGAAGGCAGCAACTATCGTACAGCAAAGGAATCTCGGAATGAGAGGTTTTCATTCGTCTGGCGAATAGTTCGGTTGGTCGAATGGGGGATCGCCTTGAAGAGCTTGGTTTCCATCTGCGCATCTTTTGCAGAAGTCTGAAAACGGACTGTTGAACTTCATTATGTCAGAAGTGCAAAAAGGATAGCTTACTATGCAAAATTTGATCTCTTCCTCCAAACTTCCTTTCATATACCTCACGTATTTAAAGACGACAGGCAGAGTTACGCAAACGATCAGAAAGGACAAAACGGATAGCGCCACTGCTGCGTAGGCAACAATGCGTTGTGCTTTCACCTTAAAAAATTTACAATTTTCACGATACAGCATGATAGCGAGCGAAGGCATGACTGTGACAGGGGAGGGGAATGTTATGTGCATCAGACAAACTTCTAAATCAGAGCAACAAGTCAAAAGGCGCGGCTCATCTCGAAGATAGTTTCACTAGCGCAAAGCGATTTATTTTCATTTTACTCAAGGCTATTCAACAGAAACTTACTTTTACCTGAACCACCATAGCATCATACGGCCTCACCAAACTGGAACTAATAAAAGATTTTATTAGAGTAGGCAGGGACACGCAATTATAAGGTGACTAGTTAATGCCACACCTAGTTATTGACCACCATTATCATACAATTACATGTTTTTCGACCGATTTTAATTGGACCTCCATAATTATCTACCGAGACAGTTCCCCCACTTCAGTTCGACCAGCTCATCGCAGCGTTCCCTTTAGGTTCCAGAAGAAGGTGAGAGTTCAGAAGGATACTCGATGGTTAGTCCTATGTGCTTACGAGTAATGGTAATGATAATGGTGGCGAAAAGACAGTGCAGTAGTCACTGACGCAACCTCTTTCCGCTGCTCGCCGCGTATTTCTCTCTAATCTGGAAATGAAGAGGCATTTGAATTGAGCAATCAGCCGTTCACAGTTGGGCCCATCTTTAGCTGATTTTAAGATATGTGCTCTCGCTCTGACTGAAAAGGCTAGCACTAAGCAGTTAGTCCGGCTGTAGTTGTCGATGTCATAGTACTAATCTTACATTAAGAAATTTTGACGCCTCAGTCCTTAACACTAACAAACATTCTTTGGCGGCAAGAACTGCCTTGCGCCAAAAGACCTGCTCGCCCGAGGTGGTGGCGTTGACGCGCAGCGAACGCTGTGTGCGCCGGAATTAACCGTCGAAGTTGATAAATTATTCTTAAGGGGATGCTACCCCGTGTTTAAAATATTCGCAAATCTATGGGGAAAATAAAATCAGATAATGGCTTGGAACCTCGAGAAATAGTGCGCGGACGAGTGTGAATCGAGTAGATGCAGCGTAAAACAAAAACTCCTCTCTATTAGGTTGTCCGGAAAGTTCTCAGCGTTTTGTGCACCTATTTTTTGTACATTCACTGCTGATTAAAAACTCATTCTGCCTTGCTTCTCAGTAGCACATCCTGTAGAGAATTTCTTGCGCTATCTGATGGTATAATTGCCGTTTCACCATTGCTTGATAAACCCTTTTTTCAAGATTTTTCAAGCATGTGAAAAGAGCACTTCGGACGATTTTTTTCTTCGACTATAAATTGGGGCAATCCGCAATCGAAACAGCTCAACAAATTAACCAGGTGTGGGGGCCCAATAGTGCTAGAGAAAGCACTGTGCGGCAATGGCTCAACAAATTTCGTTCTGGAGATTTCAGCCTTGAAGATGAACCTCATAGCGGTCGACCTAAAGCAATATCTGACGAGGATTTTAGGGGATTTTGGAGGCTGACCCATCCCAAACAGTTCGAGAGATAGCAGAAGAGCTAGGCCTTGGCAAATCCACTGTTGCAGATGGTCTGGAACGCATTGGGAAGGTGAAAAAACTCGACAATTGGGTGCCCCACAATCGGAGTGACCGGCAGGAATCGGCACGTCTCGAGGTTCCTTCTGCATTGCTTTTGCGCAGCAGAAACGACCTGTTTTTGGACCGAATTGTGATGAAAAATGGGTCATGTATGATAACAGGAGACGTTCCGGACAGTGGTTGGATTTCGACGAACCACCGAGGTAATTTTCAAAGCCGAACCCTCACGAAAAAAAGATTCTGGTCACGGCTTGGTGGTCATCGGCTGTGTGATCCACTATAACTTTTTATCACCAGGCCAAACCATCACAGCAGAACCCTACTGTGAAGAAATCGACGAATTGTACCGAAAATTTTGTCAGATGCAGCCAACACTTATCAAAAGAAAGTCCGATTCCTTTGCATGACAACGCCCGCCCACACGTTTCACAAATCACTATCCATAAATTGAACGAATTGGGGGTTGAAGTTCTACCTCACCCACCATATTCTCCAGACCTTTCACCAACCGACTATCACCTTTTCAAACATTTTCAGAACTTCCTTGCTGAAAAATACTTCATCAATTAGGACCAGGCAAAAAAGACCTTCGTAGATTTCGTGGATTCTCGACCACCCAGTTTTTCCTTTTGATGGGATTTCTCGACTGCTGTCACATTGGCAAAAGTGTGCTGATTCGAATGGTGCCTATTTCGATTAAATCCGATGAGTATTAAAAAAGTTACGATCGTTTAAAGTGAAACACCCAAAACGCTGAGAACTTTCCGGACAACCTAATAAAAGCAACTCAAGAAAACAGTGATCACTTTGGAACTCGCTGGCCTTTTTCCTAACCACTAGGTAGGAATGCAGTCACGCCCCACCTCTTATCCTTTTCAATTCCTACACATGGGAGATCGTCAGCTTCCGAATCCCTTACTAAGGCGCAATGCTATGAGGTCAACTGACTCTTGGCTTTACTCTCGCGGTACTCTCGTGGTTCTTGGTTTCATTCTCCCAGAGACGGTGAATGGCCACTCGCACAATGGACTTTGAATCCTAGTTCCACTGCCGCTTATTGTAAGACGAAAAATTCTCTACATCCCACCTCCCCCCCCCCACAAAAAAAGCCACCAAAATGCTTGCGGTGTTGTCTAATTGTAAGTGGAGAAGACGCTGAGATGTATGCCTGAATGTCAATAGAAACTGTACAGTATAGATGACTTTCAATAAGTCATACGATGTCGAATAGAGTCATGGCCCACCTAGAAGTGGAATCGACGCTAAATCAACTTATTTCACTAAGATAACCTTTTGGCGGTCCGTGCTTGATGGTCCCTACCATTCAATTCCGCATCTGTATGCCCAACCCCGACCAGTTCGACTAAGTCATCCATACCTTTATGGTCGGTCACTAGAGTGGCCTCCAAAAACATAAATGAAGAGGTTAGTGTCGGCCGGCTTTCTGGAGCCATCTCCTCAGTCAACGTCAGACTTATGTTGTGCGGGAAGAGATAATTAGCGCTAAACACATTGCCGAACGACAGACAACTAAAGAAAATGAGAAGGACTGTAAAAGATGTAGTTGAAGGAAAAGATGGTGTGTGGGCTTATGTGAATCATCGTTGGGCCCTGAGGCTCATTAGTAGAGGCTAGCGAAAGAAATCAGGGTTGTGACGATCAGACACCTCGGAAGATATTCATGTGAGAGCACAAAGATTCCTCTCATAAAGTTCGTTGGATTTTCTCGAATTTGACCGTAGACATTTCGCCTTTAGAGGTGAAATAATACAAAAAATAATACAAAACGCATGTGCCCTTCACTGCTGGTGATATGAAAATCAATAGAAATATCTACATTATTGAGAAGGCAATTTCTCGCTTCGTTCTAAGCTCTTGGTACTGTAGATTAATTGCATGGGAAATCTCAAACAGTCGACTCACTGGTCTCAAAATCTCAGGGGAACCTGGTATTGACTGCATCGTTCCGTCTCAGCCATTCTAACGGTGAAAGCAGTTGGTTCATATTTTCAGTTGGACATTATTATTATCAATTATCAGAATCTATTTCTTATTATTTCTCTCTTCATTATAGTACTGTATTAGCGACTTGCAGAAGGGATTGATAGATATGGTGTTTTTCTGGTGGAACTCGTAACGTGATTGGCACTGATTCATCACCTCGGAGCGGATTCCAGTTTCAGCAATGAGAAGAAGTCAGTGGACTCGGTGTAGCGAAAGTGAACGAACGGCGACAGCAGCAAGCGATCTCACAATCTCCCTTTTATCGTTTAGAGACGGCTTTATGAGGAATCCTTGATGACGACATTCTCATGAGTTCCATTTAACAGTTATGAAGCTCGAGAATGCATTTGGTGAACAGGTTCCTGCTGGCGACTTCGCTTTTGACTTGAGGTTAATGCAAAGACTGCTCCAATAACATTACTTTGTGAACTGTACGATAACAAAACAAATAGCAGCTGAAGAGGGAACGGAGGGCGAAGGAACTTGTATGGGACTGGTTGGTTGCCGGGAAAACAGCGGCTACAAATTTGCATAAGAATCCGGACTTTGTTTGTTTGCGTTCAGGGTTCACGTGAGATCCATTACAAGTTCGAGGACTAAAGAGCAGGGCAATCGTTGTTGGGGATTCCTCAACAGGTGGGTGTATTTGTTTGGTGAGAGGGGGAGGGGTCGTATTTCCCTTCGAGCTTCTGGAGCTCTCGAGACAGGTAAGGTTTCGTAGTTTTTTTTTCCTGTTTTATGTGTACCATATACCCCTTACATATACCCTCTGAGTAAAAGCATCCCCCCCCCCCTCGCTCGACGGCTCGATTTGATGAGGAAGGAAGGAACAGAGGTGGGGGGGGTGGTCGTACCAACTCCCAAAAAAAAGGGGGGGGGTCGTATAGAGTCGACTAAAATCCCCAACCAATGATGCGCCTTGAGTAAAAGTAAAAAAATCTTCGGGAAATTCTGGAAAAAGTGGTACGAAGTTGGGGAAAATCAAGAATGGTGGGGAGCGGTCGCACTTTCCTCGCGATTTTTCCCCTTTCACATGTGGAATGCTTCGAACAACGCTACTCAGTCAAGGAGCCCTTCGGGATACATTCTAAGGAATCGAACAAATTTTGAACATTCTGCACTCAACCGATGAAACGGGGTAGCGGCTGCAATCTTCATTCAAGCGTGGCGGCGGCCGCGCTCCTGATATGCAAGGTATTTTGAATCTGAGATTTTCGTCTTGTCTCAGTTTGAAGTATGCCCTCCCACGCAACCAAGTGAAGTACGCAGCCACGCCTACTGCGTTTCAGAGATGTGGAGTTTATTCTTCGGAAACTTCCTTAGGATGATTGAAGGCAGTGAGCGTCATGGTCAGGGGCAGGCGGTTGCTGCCAACCTCACTGGTGGAAGGGCTGATGTGAGTGTGTGTGATCGAACGCTCATTTGCAGCCCTTCCGTCAATGACTTTGGCAGCCACCGCCCGCCAAATTTATGCCCAGCCTTTAATCGAGAAGGGCATTCAGAAAAGTATAGCGTGCTCGGTGCTTTGCCGCTATTGTGACCTCAAAGCACGGTCCGCGATAAGGAGCGTAGGTAATGGTGTTGAAATATGGAAGAGAAGTTGTCAAGTGACTCGTTTGTGAAGATAAAATGCCAAAGCGAAATGGAAAACGCCTTCGATCGAGTAAAGGTATTT